ACCTTGATCCCAAAACCAGACAAGGATCCCATCAAAAAAGAGAACTACAGACCAATATCCTTGATGAACACAGATGCAAAAATTCTCACGAAAATACTAGCCAATAGGATCCAACAGTACATTAAAAGGATTATTCACCACGACCAAGTGGGATTTATTCCAGGGCTGCAGGTTGGTTCAACATCCCCAAATCAATCAATGTGATACAACACATCAATAAAAGAAAGAACAAGAACCATATGATACTCTCCATAGATGCTGAAAAAGCATTTGACAAAGTACAGCATCCCTTCCTGATCAAAACTCTTCAAAGTGTAGGGATAGAGGGCACATACCTCAATATTATCAAAGCCATCTATGAAAAACCCACCGCAAATATCATTCTCAATGGAGAAAAACTGAAAGCTTTTCCACTAAGGTCAGGAACACGGCAGGGATGTCCGTTATCACCACTGCTATTCAACATAGTACTAGAAGTCCTAACCTCAGCAATCAGACAACAAAAGGAAATTAAAGGTATCCATATCGGCAAAGAAGAAGTCAAACTATCACTCTTCGCAGATGATATGATACTATATGTGGAAAACCCAAAAGACTCCACTCCAAAACTGCTAGAGTTTGTACAGGAATTAAGTAAAGTGTCAGGGTATAAAATCAATGCACAGAAATCAGTTGCATTTCTCTACACCAACAACAAGACAGAAGAAAGAAAAATTAAGGAGTCAATCCCATTTACAATTGCACCCAAAACTATAAGATACCTAGGAATAAACCTAACCAACAAGGCTAAGAATCTATACTCAGAAAACTATAAAGTACTCATGAAAGAAATTGAGGAAGACACAAAGAAATGGAAAAATGTTCCATGCTCCTGGATTGGAAGAATAAATATTGTGAAAATGTCTATGCTACCTAAAGCAATCTACACATTTAATGCAATTCCTATCAAAGTACCATCCATTTTTTTTTTCAAAGAAATGGAACAAATAATCCTAAAATTTATATGGAACCAGAAAAGACCTCGAATAGCCAAAGCAATATTGAAAAAGAAAGCCAAAGTCGGTGGCATCACAATTCCAGACTTCAGGCTCTATTACAAAGCTGTCATCATGAAGACAGCATGGTACTGGCACAAAAACAGACACATAGATCAATGGAACAGAATAGAGAGCCCAGAAATAGACCCTCAACTCTATGGTCAACTAATCTTTGACAAAGCAGGAAAGAATGTTCAATGGAAAAAAGACAGCCTCTTCAATAAATGGTGTTGGGAAAATTGGACAGCCACATGCAGAAAAATGAAACTGGATCATTTCCTTACACCACACACGAAAATAGACTCAAAATGGATGAAGGACCCCAATGTGAGAAAGGAATCCATCAAAATCCTTGAGGAGAACACAGACAGCAACCTCTTTGACCTGAGGTCAAATGCCGCAGCAGCATCTTCCTAGGAACATCACCAAAGGCAAGGGAAGCAAGGGCAAAAATGAACTATTGGGATTTTATCAAGCTCAAAAGCTTTTGCACAGCAAAGGAAACAGTTAACAAAACCAAAAGACAACTGACAGAATGGGAGAAGATATTTGCAAATCACATATCAGATAAAGGGCTAGTGTCCAAAATCTATAAAGAACTTAGCAAACTCAACACCCAAAGAACAAATAATCCAATCAAGAAATGGGCAGAGGACATGAACAGACATTTCTGCAAAGAAGACATCCAGATAGCCAACAGACACATGAAAAAGTGCTCCATATCACTCGGCATCAGAGAAATACAAATCAAAACCACAATGAGATATCACCTCACACCAGTCAGAATGGCTAAAATGAACAAGTCAGGAAATGACAGATGCTGGCGAGGATGCGGAGAAAGGGGAACCCTCCTACACTGTTGGTGGGAATGCAAGCTGGTGCAACCACTCTGGAAAACAGCATGGAGGTTCCTCAAAATGTTGAAAACAGAACTACCCTATGACCCAGCAATTGCACTGCTGGGTATTTACCCTAAAGATACAAACGTAGTGATCCGAAGGGGCACGTGCACCCAAATGTTTATAGCAGCAATGTCTACAATAGCCAAACTATGGAAAGAACCTAGATGTCCATCAACAGACGAATGGATAAAGAAGAAGTGGTATATATACACAATGGAATACTATGCAGCCATCAAAAGAAATGAAATCTTGCCATTTGCGACAATGTGGATGGAACTAGAGGGTATCATGCTTAGCGAAATATGTCAATCGGAGAAAGACAACTATCATATGATCTCCCTGATATGAGGGAGAGGAGATGCAACATGGGGGGTTAAGGGGGTAGGAGAAGAGTAAATGAAACAAGATGGGATTGGGAGGGAGACAAACCATAAGTGACTCTTAATCTCACAAAACAAACTTAGGGTTGATGGGGGGGGGGGGGTTGGGAGGGGGGGTGTGGGGTTATGGACATTGGGGAGGGTATGTGCTATGGTGAGTGCTGTGAAATGTGTAAACCTGACAATTCACAGACCTGTACCCCTGGGGATAAAAATATATTATATGTTTAAAAAATATATAAATTAATTTATAAAAAAATAATGATGTAGTTTCCTTCTTTATCTCTGAGTATGGTCTTTAGCTTGCAATCTAATTTATCTGATATGAGGATCACTACCCCAGCTTTCTTTTGGGCCCATGGGCATGAAAGATGATTCTCCATTCCTTCACTTTCAGTCTGGATGTATCTTTAGGTTCCAAACAGGTTTCCTGTAGACAGCATATGGATGGGTCCTGTCTTTTTATCCAGTCTGCAACCCTGTGCCATTTTATGGGAGCATTTAGGCCATTCATGTTGAAAGTGATTGTTAAAAGATAAGTTTTTATTGTCTGTGAAGTCCTTGTTTTTATAGATTGTCTGTAAAGTTCTGTTCTATATCACTCTTGGGTTCTTTCTTCTTTTATAAAACCCTCTTAATATTTCTTGTAGTGCCAGCTTGGTGGTTACATAATCTTTTAGACTTTGCTGGTCTTGGAAGCTCTTTATCTCTCCATCCATTCTGAATGTCAGCCTTGTCAGAAAACCTATTCTTAGCTAATGTTCTTCTCATTTAGTGCCCTGAATATGTCTTGCCAGGTGTTTCTGACTTGCCAGGTTTCTGTGAACAGGTCTGACATTATTCTCATGGCCCCAACTCTGTATATAAGGAATCTCTTCCCCCTTAGCTACCATTAAGACATCTTCTCTGAATTTAGGATTCAGGAATTCCACCATCACATGTCTGGGGGGTCTTTCTATCCTCATTGATCTTGGGGGGTGTCCTCTCTGCCTCTAGGACATGAACACTTGTTCCATTCCCTAGATCAGGGAAATTCTCATCTAGAATTTGTTCAACTATATCTTCTAGTCCTCTCTCTCTCTCCACCTCCTCAGGGATCTCAATAATTCTGACATTGGAACATTTCATGGTGTCATTTCCCTAATTCTGATTTCATGGTTTCTAAGCTGTTTGTTCTAGGCCTCCTCCTGGTCCTTCTTTTCTATCAGTTTGTTTTCTAGATCACAAATTCTGCCTCATTTACCCCAGCTGTTAGAGTATTTAGATTAGAATGGATCTCATTCTAATGAGATCTGCCAGATCAGCTCTCACTTCCACCCTTAGAGATTCTATGTTGCCACTAATAGTATTCTCCAACCTAGCTATTGTCTGGATAATTCTTACCCTGAATTCTATTTCCAACACACTGTTTATGACCATATTCAGTAGTTTTGTGGCAGAGGTCACAGTCTCTGTCTCTTTCCTCTGTTGGGTGTTCCTCGTCCTACTTTTTGGTGAGACGTGGTTGAGGAGATGTATAGCTGAATATATCAACCATGATCCAAGCAAGGTAAACCCTCTCCATTATGTCCTATGCCCCTGTAGAGATCCAGACGTGTATAATCTTATATCTCAGGCTGATTTCATGGGTGTTCAGAGTGTTCTGGTAGATATTTAGCTCAATTCAGGGGGCCAGTGGAAATAGGGTCGTCCCCTACTCCTCTGCCATCTTGTCCCTTCTCCTTATGTCTTTTCTTTTTAAAGATATTTATTTATTTATTTGAAAGAGTGAGCAAGACAGAGCATAAGCAGGGGGAGCAACAGACTGAGAGAGAGCCAGGCTCCCGCTGAGCAAGGAGCTCAATATGGGGGTTGATCCCAGGACCCCGGGGTCATGATTTGAATTGAAGGCAGATACTTAACCAACTTAGCCACCCAGGCACCCCAGGATAATCCTGTCCTAATTTGTAATTCTGAAACTGTTTGCCATGAATACATGTTCTATTCTAGTACCATGGTTAGGTGTCAAAAAAGAATTTACTTTACTATCCAAAACATCCAAATGCCAGTTCACAGTAAAGCAAACCACAGAAGTAAGTAAAAACACTAAAATTTTAACTTTTCAGTGATTTTTTACATTGTTAAATATTTATTTTTTAAATTTTTAACAAGTTATCTTTTTAGTCCTTTGAATTTGAAGATGCCAACTTTGACTACTCCCTCAGGCTACTATTCATTTCAGTAACCAAGAACAAAAGACTTCAGTGATATGCCCCTTCACTACCTACTGCTCTAGATCATGTATCACCATCCCCATATGTCTTCTGTCTATTCCATACCCTAATGTTATGGTTTCTTATTGCTTAGGTGTATTTTTTTTTTCATTTTCTCTTATCTTTTCCTAGAATTCTCATCCCTTTATCCAACTTTAAAACTCTACTCATACTCAGATACTTAGCTCAGGCATCACATCCTCTGAAAAGCTTTTCCTAACCCACAGACAGAATTAAACTCTCCTTCTTTATTTCCATAGCATTTTATGTACTTTTTCACTGTTGCATATAGCATATACATTGCATTTACTTACATATCTGTCAAAGTCATAGGCTTCCTTAGCTCAAAATATGACATAACATAGTCATTCAATAAAGATTTGGAATAATTTGAATATAAAATGTTCAAACCTCTGTTATTATTTACAGGTTTTTTATAGGCAAGAGGGGCACAGCAATAGTCAAGTTATTGAAACACAGAAACCTCAAGCAGTAGTACCACTGCCGGATGCTGGAGTCTATATTATTGAAGTTCGAGCATACAGTGAAGGAGGGGATGGGACAGCTAGTACCCAAATTAGGGTACCATCCTATTCAGGTAAGTTTTGACATAGTAGGCTTAATTTGATGACCACCAACAATGTTAAATAGTGTAAACCTCACCAAAATTAATATGATGAATTGCATGGATGAAAACTTTGTAAAGGTCCCATTTCTCACTCTGATTTCCATACCATCCTCTAATTAATAAGAAAATATTTCAAGAAGCACCTTGCTGGCCATTTGGGCTTTGCAATATTGCTTTTAAACTGCCAGTTCACTGTTTTAACATAATTATTTCTCAATTACCTTGATTACTTTTATCATTAGATAATGGAGAATGAGGTGTATGAGGTACAGAAAAGCTTAAAAGAAATGCTCCTTAAAATTAAACTTGTATCATCTTTATTGATTTCAAAGTAAATTATAAACTCTATTGAGTATCATTTTTTGTTTTCCAGGTTTACTGAGATATAATTGACATGTAGCATTTTGTAGATTTAAGTTATACAACTTGTTGATTTAATATATTTATGCACTGGAAAATTAACACCATAGCATTAGCTAATGCCTTCATCATGCCATATAACTGCCATTTCTTTTTGTAGTGAGAACATTTAAAATTTACTCCCTGCACAACTTTCAAGTGTGTACTATAGTATTTTTAACTATAATCACAATGCTGTACATTAGATCACTGGAACTTATTTGTGTCTCATTGTTTTTATTATCAGTATTAAAAATTTATAGCTTTTACTGAGCCCTTACTATGTGTTAGGATTGGTCATAAGTCTTACTGGTCATATCTTATACATCATTTTATTTAGTCTTAGTAATAATTATATGAGGTCGATGGCGTTATTCATATTTTACAGAGAAAATTTAAGTAACTTGCCTAAGACCACACTAAGTAGAAGAACTAGGATTTGGAACCAAGTACACTTATCTCCAAGACCACGTATCTTCACCACTACCATCATTATTACATCAGCAAAGAAATTAAAGGAAGAGAAATTTTATAAATTTAGAAATGAGTAACCATTTCACTGAAGTAGTAAAAAAAAAATAATAGAGTATGCAGTTCTCCCTTATTAAGAAAATATCAGATAATTTTCCCTAAATCCTTGATTAAAAATGTTTAATGTGCAGTTAATTAATGGGCAATTATGAGCATTATTTATTGAATAATCATTCTCAAGCAGAATTGTCAGCCTAAAGGGAAGTATCCAGTGATATCCTATAGGATACTGCATGTGGCTTTGTTGCATTCAACATATTTATCAATTTGGATTAAGACCAGAGGTATTGCATATGATTTTTTTTTTTTTTGATTCCACAAAGTGGGATAGAAGGCAAATACAAGGAAGAAAATAATTAGACTGAAGCTCTGAGGAAAAGTCATTTACATAATATTTGATAAGTAAATTCTTACATAAAATACAACATGAGATAAAGAATATTATTGGGACAGTTCATAAAATCTGAATAATGTCTATAGATTAGATAACATATATATCAATAATTACCTTTTCTTTTAAAAAGGTACTGTGATTATATAAGAAAATGTCTTATTTTTAGGAACTATACATTAAAGTATTTAGGGTCAAATGTATATCATATCTGCAACTTACTTTCAAATGGCTCAGGACATCAAAAACTAAGGATGTACTGTGTGATGACTAACATAACATAATTTTAAAAAATGGATCAGGGAAAAATGTATGTATTTATAGAGAGAATAATAGCACAAATGATGAATAAACATTTAAGGAATCTGGATATATATTCTTTGCTCTATTTTACAACTTTTGGTTCATCTAAAATTATTTCAAAATGAAAAGTTAAAAATTTAAAAAAACCACAAGATATATGAAATCTGACATTTTTCAGAAATTTAGGTGAAAAGACCTAAGAATTTAAATACAGTGTGGCCACACTAAAATTTAATACACTTTATGATTCATTTATAAAAGTATAACTTCAAAAGCAAGAGAGGTAATATTGTCTCTGCATTGATTACTACAATTGAACTGTTCAGATATGGGTGTTAAATTTTCAAGAGCACCTTGAAAGACTAAAGATTATTTCTGAAAAGTGAAAAAGATGACAACTCTCTGCTTGCATCATAAGTCTTAAATTTCTAAAAGCAATGATACAATGAGCATTTACTGACCGCTGATCATGTTCTTTACATTACGCTAAGTATTTTTCATATATTATCTTCTTTTATCCTTCTAAGTATTCTATTATTCTCTGACTCCCCAAGGTTCCTGTCAACTCTAAGACAACCAGATTGTAAAGTATCATCTGGAAAGTATCAGCCCCAAGTTTGAAAGTACTTATAAAGACATTGATTCTCCCATTGTATTACAACTTTTATTTCATGAAAAACAAATTGTCAACTTTTATGATTTAGTTAAAAATATATAGCTAGTGCAGCCCATTTTCTGAGTTTTAATAAAATAAGAACTCATTGTCTATCTCAGACCTATAGAAAATGAGCAACAATTGGTTTCATTCTTATCATTTCCAAAAACCAAAAGCCTTAAGAAGTTCAAGGGCTCGCTCAAGTAAAATAGTTAGTTTTGCAGCTGGAACTAAAACTTAGTCCAGTGTTGATGTTTGTGTTTTGTTTTGATTTGCTCTACCAAAATAACATTTTTGGTTTGTGGATTCTTTGTGAAATCTGAGCTATAGTCTGCTTTGCATTCTGAAAGTGAGATGATTTTGTAAAGGTGTCATGTTAGTCAATTTAACAAGGACTCAGCCACTCTCAAATAAATAGAAAAGATGTTTTCACAGTTTGTATTACATACCACTCCAGTGAAGCTTTGTCATCAGGCCTTTCTTGTGGTTCACATGAGGTCATGCACTTTGCAATAATTCCTTTTGTACAAGGTGAAATACATGTTACATTCTCCAATATGTTGATTAAAGTTCTATTAGTGCCTTAAATATGAACATTTTCTAAGAAAAGATTTGCTGCTGCTGTTGCTATGTGTGTGTGTGCCTATATGTGTGTGTGTTACCAAGAAAATGGTGCCCCAGCTCTTAAATAAACATCTGGGGAAAAAATGTGGACACTATTTCCATAACAAAAATCATAACCAGATCCCATTAACACTCAACTCTTGCCAGAGAAGGTAACTTGACAGAACGATGATCCCAAAAACTGGGTAGTACCTTTTTTTATGATTAATTTATCAGTAAGGTTTTAATTAAGGCCAATTATAAGAACATCTGTTTCCACTAATCCCATCTTGATGACTGTAAGCAAGTTCTATTATCTAAGCTCAGGGAAATAAAAATGGTACTTACTGCATGGAAATGTTGTGAGCCTTGAATAAGATGATATGTATAAAGGGCTCATCACAGTGCACTGCATGTAGTAAATGTTCATTAAATATCGATCATGACGACAATACTTCAGATTTCTGACTTGAGGAACCGTTAAGTTAGCTCTAAGGGTAGTACTTAGTTCATGTGGAGTTTGTTATGTGGAACTATCAAAACTACTTCAAACTGATCCATTCAGATCAGTGTGTTTAATCAAACAGCCACCTTAGTACATTAACCGCATAAAATATTTTGTTTCCAAAAAGGAAGAATTTCTCCTGGGTATAATATAGGTAAGAGTGATGAAAGATGGATCTCTTGCCTTTGCCAAGTTTGGTATGAGAATCTAGAATTTAAGCCTGTTCAACTGAAACAATCAAGTCAGTGGAGAACCCATAAATAAATTAAATAATTAAAATACTTTTGTTTATCAAACTCAAACACTGACTGACGTAATTAAATTATGAATTCTATTGACACAAACTTTTGCTAATTATTCTTGTTCCCTTTCCTAAACTATACAATAAATATACAATAAAATATACTATTTTATTGTTCATACCTACCTGGAATTTGGGATGCTTTCCATCAGTGCATCATTGGTGAAAATTAAACTAAATCTCAGAGTAGATGTGTTTTTCAGACATGACATAGCCTTGTAAGACAGTATTCCACATAGAATTCTGCCTTCCATATAATTTTTGGGAGCCCGATACCTTATCTTTTTTTATAAGCACACCCTCATCAGAAACAAACCCATGTGCACTCCTTTGTCTTAAAAACCTAAAAACAACTCTCTCCTAGCTCAAGCAAAATCAAAATAATTTGCTGCATTTAATGCTTCTCTATTTTCACAGGTGGGAAAATCACTAGTGCCCAGTCGACCCTCCACACACTCTCCCCATCTTCATCATCGGTAACATTGCTCTTGGCATTGATGATTCCCTCAACTTCTTTGTGAAAACTACAGACTTACCTTGCTTTGCTTTGCTTTAGACTGAATATAGCAGTGAATAGAGTGTAGTGTAAGTGGAGACACAGGACCCTGAGATGAGCTTTAAAAACTTGGGACTACACATGGTGCACTTACAGGAGGTTGGGGGGAATATTATTTAACCATCAGGTTTCTCTTTGGTTTTGTAAATGGAGAGGACAGTTCTTGGTCCAATAAAATATGCAGATTGTATGTAATGAATTTTTTGTAAGCAAAGGTAATTTCTGTCAAATGTATTCTTTACTTTTTTAATATGTTGGAATTTGATTTATATCTGATGACCCTGAGTGTGTGCCATCCATTTGTTAAGTAAGTTGTCTCTAGCAGATATGTTTCAAACACAACTACAAAACTGAGAATGAAAAGTCTGCTAAAAGGTTCTGAGTCTACTGTTTTTCATTTTCCCTTTGGCTAACTATCCCAATTGACAAAATTGTAGAAGATATGAGAAAAAAAATACTTCGGTTGTGTAATCCATTATAGAATAAGTACACAAAAGTTTTTTTGAAAAATATTGTGTTACCTCATAGTGAATTAGCAAAATTTGTCAATATATTATTCTATATATATCCCTAGAACAAGTTATTAGGATAGGGAATAAGCCATTTACATTAGTGCAAGGTAAATAGAAAGCAAGTCCCAATGAATTTAAGTGCTGTTTTTCATTAATTACTATGTTATCTAATAATTGCAATAGCTATGCCTATGACAAATGCTTAATTTTAATAGCAAAAGATTAAAGTCACAAAAAAAATATGGTCACTAGAAACCATAGTCACTGATATGCTGCCAAGGGTGCTAACTTGAAAACAAAATGAATTCAGGACAGAGCTTTCCCATTTCCCACCTACTGCCCAAATAGATGTTGAATTAAGTCCAAATTTTTTTTAAATTGCCAACAATTTTAAGGACAATGGAAATCCACTGTGCAAATAATAATGCATACATATATAGTCTGTGAGTTAAAATGTTTCAAGCCAACAAATAAATTTTGATTCTTTAAACACTTCCGTGCATCACATACCACTTACAAAATGTTACCAACTACTAAAATAAAAAGGACCTCTTGAATAAATTGATTTTTTAATTAAGCTCTGGAAACATGGCCTCACTACAGAGCCTCAGCTAGCCATACACTGCTTGGGAAATGTTCCCCATTTTTTTATTTTGGGGAGTCACCATGAACCAAAGTGACTTTAGATAGTTGGATATTGAAGTGAAAGTTTTCTACTTGATAGTATATAGAAGTTCTGACTGTCAGAGTTCATATAACATCCAGGAAGATGCCTGAAGGGATAGTTAATGCAAAGTCAAATATCAAAAAAAGAGCTTGGAGAAACTAGTTTTAAAGATGATGTTAATATGAAAACAAAGAGTAGTCTCTTTTCTCTTATAAAATGTAACCTGTTAATTTTGTTTGTAACATCCTTAACAGCAAGCAAGATGAAACAATATTTAACTCTCACTGCTGGATCTAGAGGTTAATCCCTATAGAATCAGGATATATTGGAATTTCTGTTCTGAATACCTAAAAGATTGGTTTCAGAGATACAGAACAACTATTTAAGTTGGTTACTCATTCTGTTTGGGAGAAATGAACAAGAAGTGAGTCCTTTTAGGACTATTTTTAGTTTACAGATTATTATAGTAAATTACTACAGATGGTGACTATTGAAGCCTGTGAATGATAACAACCAAGTGGCCTTCTTTGAGCACCTCCTTTGGGGTGGGAGAGATGGGACTTTGCAGATAGAGAGATATGAACTATTTAGCAGGCAAAATATGAACTCTCATGACTAGGGGTTAGCTTGCAGAAGCAAATCACGCATCAGAAAAAAAAGATACAGCAACAATATAAAAGAATAGACAATTTTTACTTAATACTGTAAATCATTTTCTTTGTTTTTCATGGTGTTTTATCCTAGATTTAGTGAAGGACTTTTAAGAATCAAGTCATTACTGAAACCCTTATAAAAACAAAACCCAATAAAATGTCAATACATGACAAATTCAAAATAACAAAGATTCCCAACTAGCTGATGGATGGTACATATCTGATAGAATATTTACATGTAGAATGTCTGAGGTATTCTTACAGGAATCAGAATTAAGGGATGTTTTTACTCAACCTGCACAGAATATGTATTTTGCATCATAAACCTATAAAAAAAGGTTTTGAATGTTTATGTACTTATGTATTACATACTTGTTACTTTATAGAAAGCAGAACAGCATTCCTTATCAAGGTACTTAATTTTTCAGCTGCAGTACTAAGTGAGCTTTTTCTTGGATGGTCTAGTAACCACACAGTCTTAAATCACTAAAGAGACTGTATTTTTGTATAATGTCAATTGAATTTTGAAGGGAAAAAAAAAAAA